CCCTCAGTAGAGTGCTGTGGCATCACAGCTCACAGCAACCTCAAACTCCTGGGCTTAAGTGATTCTCTTGCCTCAGCTTCCCACGTAGCTAGGACTACAGGCTCCTGCAACAACTCCCAGCTATTTTTTTGTTGTAGTTGTCGTTGTTTAGCAGCCCTGGGCTGGGTTCGAACCCACCAGCCTTGGTGTATATGGCTGGTGCCCTAGCCACTGAGCTATAGGCACCGAGCCTAGGGGAGATATTTTTAATCTCTCTTCACAGATGGGAAAACAGAAGCTCAGGCAAGTCAGGTAATTTATCCTTAGCCACACAGCAAGTCAGCAGCTTGAGAGGCTCAAGGCCATTCTGCTTAACTCCACCGATCTCGTACCCCAAAATATTAATAATTATTACAACTAATATACTAGCTATTGAGAACTTACTAGGCACTATTTTAAGGACTTTCTGTGAAGTCAATACCATGCCCTAGTAAGATAATTTGCCCCAAGAAGCTGAGGCTCAGAGAAGTTAAGTGACTTGCTCAAGGTCACACAGTGGAGAATCAAGCAATCTGGCTGTAGGGTTCATGCATAACCACTGTGCTATCCCTGGTTCCTCAGATAATTCCCAAGCTCAGCTGGCCTAGCTCTCTGCAGGCACAATGTCTGGAGGCATTTGGCTATGATGGGCCCTCAGCTGGTCTGGTCCTTTGAAATGTGTCCTCCCTTCACCCAGCCTTCTGGGGTCCCCATTGCTGACTCACCTTCGTTCACAGGGGCCCATGTCTGTTGGGGAGGCTGTGGAACTGGGGTAGGGGGTTGGGGCTGTGGTTGGGGCTGGGGCTGGGGCTGTGGGGGCAGCTGAGGCTGTGGTTGTGGCTGGAGCTGGGGGGGTGGTTGTGGCTGGGGAGGCAGCTTAGGCGGGGGTGGTCGAGTGAAGATGGGTGATCCAGGGAACATGGCCCTGCTAGCTCCATGCTCCCAAAAGGCATTCTGCAGTTTGAATATCATGCTGAGAGGGATAGGGCGCTGGCGTGGGGCACCGCGGGGCTGGGGGCTGGAAGGGGGCATGGGGATGCGGCTGACAGGTTGCCAGCTGCGGGGCAGAGTGCCTGACTGCCCAGCAGAGCCCAGGGAACGGCGGTAGCTGCCCACATCTGAACGCCTGTCATTGGCCAGAGGGGAGACCTTGTAATTGCGCGGCAGGGTGGCACTGGTGAGGTTGTCCTAGGAGGAAAAAAGGGAGAAAGCACTCAACTGGAAGGAGTAAAGGCAAAAGCTGAGAAGAAAAAGGGAGGTGAGGGAAGCCCAGAGAGTGAGGGAAGGGTCAGGAAGAAGTGGAAATGCAGCATATAGAAGGAAGAGCGTGGGAAAGGCCACGGAGACTGGGGGTCGCGTAGGTGGGGGAGGGGAGTGAAACTGGCCCTGACCCGGCTCCCCTCCTCTTGTGTCTCAGTCTCCGCCCCTCACCTTGCCAGGGGCCCCCAGCCCGTCCAGGCTGCTCTCCCTCCAGGGCAACAGCTGCAGGCCTGGTGAGGCAGGCCGTGGGAACACATCCAGGCCTATGAGGCAGAAAACATTAGTGTCCGGGGGCGCCTGTCTTCCGTGTTCTCCACTCCTCTCCTTTCCCCTAACCCCCTGCCTCCGTTGCTCACGTTCATAGCTCTGGGAAGACTTCTTCTCATACGCCACATCTAGGTCAGACTCGTTCCAGGCTTTGGGGGTCCGCCGGCGCAGCGTCAGGTCGTCTGAGGAGATGTTTTCAGTGAATATGTACACCAAGGGGTCCGCCCACTTCTGCCCCCCAAGTTCAACCCGGTTTACCTTGTGCACGCAGAGGCGGGGCAAAAGCGCTTCCGCCGGTGCCCAACAGAGAGCTCCCAAAGACCGAGGGCGCATCGTACGCAGCCGCGGGGCGCGGCGAGGGCCCACGTTCCGGGAAGAAGGCCTGGGGCCCCTCGGCCAGAGGGCTGCCACGTGGAGAGCCAGCGCGGCCCAGGAAGTCGAAGGGCGTGGGGGCACCCTGCTGGCGGAGCGGGCCTGGCCCGGGCCGCGGGGAGGGTGCACGGCCAAGGGAGCTGCTTGCCCCATCAAAGGCGCGGGGCCGGGGTGAAGGTGCGCGGTCCAGGCTGCTGTAGGCGTCCGGCTGCAGGTAGAGCGGAGTGCGGGGAGACGATGGCCGGCCCTTGGGTGATAACGGACTGTAGGGATGCAGGACCGGGGCACTCTCCGAGCGTGGGAATGAGGTATCTATGCTGTCAGTGGTTGCCTTCCGGGGAGACCCTCGGTTGCCCATGAGTTCAGAAACCGGGCTGGAGCTGTACCGGGACAGCTGTGGGGAGGCCAGAACATTGAGGTGTCAAAGGAGACATTAGCAGAGGGGTTGGTGGGTGTGGGTCAAAAGATATAACTGAAGGTCAACTCAAAGGAGTTGGACTAGTGGAAATTCATGCACAGAAGGGCCAGGTGAGGAGTGTCAGGGAGAGACCCTGAATTAGGATGAGTCTAGCCCATTACTGTATGTCGCCTTTGTGGGACTTAAGGTCTTCCTGTTAGATGCCCACCTCAACTGGTCCCCTACCTTCAGGTGTCCTTGACTAGGCCACAACCTGCACAACTGTATGGGGCAGCCATGCTTGAAATCCAAGCCTCTGGCCTGAGGTGTGGAGCAAAGCGGCTTTGGAGGTCGAGGTAGGAACCAGGCTCACCCTAGAAGGCACTCCAGCCTGTGGGCCAGGAGGCGCTGGAGAGTCTGACCACAGGGATTCCAGCTGCTTGGTCAGTTCGTCCACCTTGGCTGCTGCTGTGTCCAGCTCCATCTGCTTCATATGCTCCATGTGCTTCATGGCCAGTGCTAGGTGGGTGGGAGTGGGCTAAGGACCTGGCTTCTAGCAAGGGCCCACCTCTACCCACCTCCCCCACCCCCTCCCCCAGCTCACACTGGAAATTCAGGTCCAGAAGGTCCCGGGCACTCTGGAATGCCTCGCTGTCCATGGTGCCAGCTGGAGCAGGCGCTGCATGGTGGGGAGAGGGACAGCTAAGACCCTGCCCCTGTGGACCCTGTCCTCAGGGAACGTAGGGCAGTGAAGGGAAGCACCTCACCTTTACTGTTCCTTCCATTTCCCCAGCTGAGAAATGCCAACTCCTTCAAAGCCCAGTTTGTATGCCAACTAGAAATCCAAACCTATTCTAGAAGGCTCCAGGCAATTCACTCTCTTTACATGACTCCTTGTCCATCTTTTTGTATCATCCCCAATGAGACTTGAATCATTTCCTCAACAATTATCTGTTGATCATCTACTATGTAGCAGTAAACATGGGATGAAATAATAACTAGTGATTACTGAGTGCTTACTAGGGACCAGGAGGCACTGTGCCAGATGCTGTGAATATTTGTTTTATTTTTTGTTTGTTTTTGTGAGACAAGAGTCTCACTACGTTGCCCTAGGTAGAGAGCCAAGGCATCACAGCTCACAGCAACCTCAAATTCTTGGGCTTAAGTGAGTTTCTTGCCTGAGCCTCCCAAGTAGCTGGGACTACAGGCGCCCACCACAACGCCTGGCTATTTTTTGCTGCAGTTATCATTGTTCAGCTGGCCCTGGCCAGTTCAAACCTGTCAGCCTGGGTGTATGTGGCTGGTGCCATAACCACTGTACTATGGGTGCTGAGCCCAAATATTTGTTTCAAATAGTAATTTCGCTGCCTACTGTGTACCAGAACCCATGCCTATCCCTTGGGATATAATGCAATAAAAAACAATAACTGGGCGGTGCCTGTGGCTCAAAGGAATAGGGTGCCGGCCCCATATGCCGGAGGTGGCAGGTTCAAACCCAGCCCCAGCCAAAAACTGCAAAAAAAACCCCAATAACCATTACTTGAGGGGTTTCTGCTTTCTGGAATTGTGCTAAGTGCTCTGTACTCAATGCTTTTGTTGATGGTAAAAACCACCTTAGCAGGTGAGAAAGTACAGCTAAGAGACAATTGTTCAAGAAGTTTCACACCCAGTAGTACTGGGCTTCACACCCAGATCTAACTTGTTACTGTGGGTCATCTCCATCAGACGGGACGGATCCCACGGGGGAGGGACTACTCAGTTTCCTCTTCCAAGAGTCCCTATCCAGCAGAGGTCTGGCTCACACTAACCCATTGTTAGCAGGAGGAACAGGGAGGTGGCCAGGAGTTGATGGGCAGCCATGGTCACTGGCCCAGTGGGAGGGAGATAGGCTACCCAAAACCGGTCAGGCCAGCACTATCCCCAAGCCCATGGTTGCCACCACGCCTGCCAGCTCTGCCACCTCCCTGTTGCATCGACCACTTAGCTTTGGCAGTATAGGCGTGGGCACCAGGAGCGGGCTAGGGCATGCTGGTACCAGCCTGTCTGGGAAGTTGAGGGAACAGAACCTGTTGAGGCTGGTGGCTCATTTGGGTGTACTAGGAGTGTGTGACCTTGGTTAATGAGTCCCCTCCACTCCTTGGGCCTCAGTTTCCCCAACAGTGAAAGGAAGAGGCAAACCAGCTATTCTGAAAGGCCCCTTCAATCTCTGAAGCCTAGATTCTGATCCTGTAGGGACTGTGAGATGTAATTAAAATTCTACAGAGCCTAAACCCCTCAGCTGCAGAGTCTCTTGTTGGAAGTTCTCAGTCAGCGATTCTATCTTCAGAACATTCTAGAATTTTCCAACTTGGCTAGCCAGAATTCTCAGTCTTCCTGAACCAGGGACTATCTGTCCCACGATTGCACTCTCCTGGAAGTCTAGATGGATGAACAAATAAAAGCACAAGTGAGGGGGTGGACTTCAAGGGTTTAAATCTGGCAGGACCACCCTGACCAGAGTGCCTCAGTTTCCAGATCTGTAAAATGGAAATAAGTAACATTGTGAAGATCCACCTGGTCAAAAGGTGCAGGAGGAATTCAGGGCTCTGAGAACTAAGGCCTCAGAAAGTAGAAATTACAGGAATAAAAACTTGGGGCTTTTAGAATCTGAAACACACAGGAAAACACTTTGTAAGTGTCTGTTAAAATATAAAAACGAACAATTCTATGCAGCCTCCAGTGCCAGCATTCCGGCAGTAAGTGGTTCTCGGGGATTTCATGACTCTCGGATTTCTAAGATTGCCAGACTCCATGCTGACATCCTCTGGCTCTAAGCTTTAGAGTCTAAGGAAATGCCAGCCGTGGGTGTGGATGTTCCGGGGTCCGGCGCGGGCGGTGGGGGTGTCAGGGCCGCCAGGGGGCGCCCAGGTCACGGCCTGACCCCACCCCGGCGGGCGGACAAGGCCTGAGCTCAGGCCCAGGGAATGCGCGGCGGGCCCGGGCAGGTGCCGCGCCTCCCGCGAAAAGGGAGCGGGGCGGGGCGCAGGGGTGGTGCGGGCGGTGTCTGTGTTCCCAGGCCGCGGCCGCTGCCCCTGCCCTTCACCCCCGGGTACTCTCCCCTGGGCTCCCCTCCAATACTAAGTCCCCGTCCCGAGGGCTCCTACCTACCCCCACGCAGGTAACCTCCCCTAGGCTCTCTGCTCTACTCCTAGCTCTCCTTCCGGGCCGCCTCTGCACCCCAGTCACGTTCTTTGGAATTAAGGACCTCTGTGGGCTTCCTGGAGGAGTCATCCCCAGTAGGAACCGGGTCAGAGCGCCAGGTTGGGCTGGGAACTCCCAACTCGGAATCCTACAACGCTGTCGGGACATACTGAGGCCAGGAGACGCTCCATCCTTTCTGGGACTTTAGTTTCTTCCTCTGCAAACGCTTGTGAAATGAACTATCGCCTTCCTCTGTCTAATCCTCTACCTTGGGCTAGTTATTTAGCTACTCTGTGCCTCAGTTTCCTCATGTGTATAATGGGGGAATTAATACCTTCATCTCAAAGGAGCGTGAGGATTGAGTAACAATTTATGTGCAGTTTAGAATAACGCAGTAAAAAGTTCACCTACACAAGATTCTTAATTACCAGCCTGGTACAGGATCTGGTACAAACTGAGGGCTCAAAACTTAAAGTAATGTTTCCCTTAAAAGGCCTCTGCTCTTTCTGAGGTTCTAAAACCCCTGAGCTTTCACATCTGAGGTCTCAACTTCCTAAGGCCTTGGCTCTCAAAGCCCTAAATTCCCCCTATACATTGTTGAGTTATGGCTAGTCCTCAATAACTTAGGGATAGGGAAATGGGAGAACTCTGGAGTACTCCAGTCAGAAGCTGGCAAAAGCCCAGGGTGTGGGCAGTGTGTACTTTTCAGCCTCAGTTTCCCCCCTAGTAGAGAGAAATCTTTTCCTCTGGTCAGCAAATCTCAGTGTGAGACCTTTGGGCAGTCGCTGGAGACTTCTCTAGACAATGGGAACCATCTCTCTACCAGACAGCTCTGAGCTTGGCACGCAGTGAGCCCTGTCTTGGCAGTCTGTTATTATTTCTAATTTCATTTCAGGTTGTACCAAATGCCCTTCAAGCCCTGACATTAGGAAACATCCCTCTCTCACCAGATGCCCCTGCCTCCCCCATTCTGTTTTTAATCCTCAACCCCATGATGCATGGGGGTAGAGAGAACGGGGAGATAGAGGGAGGTGCCTGACCCTGCCCTCCTCAAGGACAGACAGACACCTCCAGAATTAGCCTCTATCCCTCCCTTATCTCCCACAATACCTCAGGTCAGACTGATGACAGTGGAGGTGACATTTCTCACCTCAGGGTCAGGGCAAGGAGCCCTGCCAGGGAGTGGGTTAGTCAGAAAATCTGGTGGGAGTGGATGGAATCCTGTTCCCCAGAGAGCTATAGGATGGTGGGGGCCAATTATGACCCCAACTCTGCTGCCTGTGTGACCTGTCGGCCGCAGTTTACCCCTTCCTTTCAATGTAATGCGGAGGTGCCTGGCTACGCAAGTCTCCTAGAATGCAACTCCGGGTTGTGGACCTCTGCAAACCTCATTTATTTCCCACCCCCCATAGGGCAATAAGAGGCCTCGCCTCCGCCAGGGGGCGCTCTAGGGCACAAGTCTCTTCTCTGGTTAGGCAGGTCTGACGCCCGGGTTAATGACATGTTGGGGTTCGCTCAGCGGCACAGAGGAGGTTGGAGAGCTGCCCCGGTTTTTTCAACTCACCCACCGCCCCCATCCCAGAGCCTCAAAGTCGGGGGAGAGCCAGGACACAGACTGGAAGGTCCCTGGGTATTTGTCCCAGTCCATATCAGAGACGGGTACCCAGTCTCTATCAGGGACCAGCCTCTACTATCCCTGCCCCACCCTTAATTCTGCTCACAGACTTAGAGGTTCGGTAGAGAAGGCAGCTGGAGGGCGGTAGGGTAGCCACCCATTCCTGAGCACCAGCAGGCTGAGCCTCCCACTTCTGCCCAATACATGGGGATCCGAGACCCAAATACTACGTATTACCCAATGAGTCAGGCTTCCCAAAGTCTCCAGTTCGAGGGACTTAGGAATTCCAGCTAAGACGTCTGCCTCGGACCAAGGGGTCCAAGTTCTCCATTCCAAGAACTCTGGCATCCAAGCCCCCTTTCCTTCCGCCCAGCAAATCAGGCATCCGAGTTCTCTCCTTCTAGGAACCCAGGCGTCTGCGCACCCCACATTCCACCCTGGAACCCAGCGTTCGAGTCCCCTCCCAGTCTTCCCAGGGACGTGAGTGTCCGGCTCTTTCAGAGCCTCTAGACCCCAGGAGCTTGGAACTCACGGATCCAGGGAAGATCCAGGCACCAGGGGGCTTCCTCTGGCTCCAGCTCCGGCTGCGGGGAGCGGAGGATGGGGCGGGGCAGGCGCCGGGAACAGGTTAGACGACGTGACTCAGGCAAGAGGGAGGCGGGTCCCAGAGGGGAGGGGGAGCCGAGGTCCCCTCGAGCACCTTGGGACTTGTAGTCCCGGAGGGGCAGGACCCAGACTAAGACATTCTCATTCTAGTAGTCCATTTCACAGACAGGAAGGGCAAGGCCCAGAAGATGAAAGAGGACAAGCCAGGACAGGGAGCTACGCAAGAAGAAATGAGACGTCTCCCGCGCTGTTGGCTGCAAGACACGGACGGACTACTGAGCTCTTGCCCCACCTCTTCAGGCTCAGTTTCCCCTTTCTTGAGTGAACATTTGGGCATTACCAAAAGGTAAAAGACCGGAGGTTGGGGGAAAGTCACGTGCCCAGCTCCTAAGGTGAGAAGAGAGCCTTGCTAAATCAGTATCCCCTCATGTCCTTGACTGTAAAAAAGGGGGTGCAGGTTAGGGGATAAAAGAATTGGATCTTTACAGGATCTTTCAGCAACAGAGCCTAAAGTTGGAGGCTGAACTATAATTCCCAGCATCTTCTGCAACCGATGTCAGGTACTTCCCCACCCCGGGTTTTCTGGGAATTGTAGTCCAGGTGCCCGCAGGGGCGGCACCCGGCGTCTCTAGCCCACGGGCGGGGAACAGTCTGAAGATCTAGGGCGAAGAAAATGTTTCCCCTTATCCTTGACCCTCCTTCCGCTCTAGAAAATCTCTCTCTCCTGGGGAAAAGGAGGGTGCCGCAATTCTGGAGTAGGATCCGAAATCTCGGCAGAGGGGCGGGAAGAGGCGCTGACACAGCGGCTAGGAATGCAGTCGGATCACCCTGTCTAGTAGCCGTCCCGCAGTTCCAACTGCCGCCCCACGCGGTGCGGTAGCTGTAGGAAGATACGTGGGCGCGTCTCCCAAATCTGCATCCACGTGCCGCTGTTTACACGAGCCCTGGGGCAGGTGAGGGATTGCCGATCCCGCCTTCTACCCCCGCTCCCTTCCTCAAAGCCAACAGGAGTGTTTCCCAGGGGCTAGACTGAACCCTCAAAGGCATCTGCAAGACTCTCTTAATCGCCGAGAGGGCCCACGTGAGTCTAGCTCCGGGTTCGAGGCTCCGCCCTTGGATTCTCAGACTCCTCCCCCTGCGTTTCCCGCTCCCCGGGAGTTTAGGAGCTCCGCCCCGGGCTAGCCCTTCACGCCCTGGGGAGGGATTACTCCCATTCCTCCATTTTCCCACTTCTCTCACCCAAGTTCTGAACATCCAAGGCATCTGAGCCTCCCTAGAAGGGATTGTAACACAGAAAGCACAGCTCTACTATTCAGGATTCTTACCTGTCTCTTACGAATTTAAGACCAATCGACCTTCGTGTCTCTTTAAGGGTTAGGTCCTATTAGTGCAGCTGCCCCTTTAAGGCGATGTTCGAACAAATCAAGTCTGAGCAACTGTAGGGGGAAACCTGCCGGGACCTAGCAAGTTTCTTACTTCAGCAAAACAGAGAATCATCTGTTTTCTGGAGCATATTTCCAGAAAAAGAGCCTTTCTATATCGTCTACTCTGCTCAATGGAAGTTTCCCGCAGTTCTGCCGCAGAACGAACAGCCACCGAGCGATGAACCCCCCCTCTCGCGCGTCCCTTGTACACTCCCGGATAAAGTCCCACCCCTTTGGGTCCACGTGGTCTGCCGCAGGGTGCAAGTAGCTGTGGCTGCTGGGTCTGCGTACGGCGTGGATCCTAGGATGGAGGGGCCCCAGTCCAACGGTGAGCTGGCGGATCTACGAGGTGCGGAGGGTGAGCTGGTGGGGGAAGGGGAACGGGACGTCTGGAAGAATTAGGGCGGAAAGGAAGCATCCCTGAAGACCGGACTTGAGAGCGTATCTCCCCGTGGGGGAACGGGGGTTCGGACGGAACGAGAGGGGTCTACCGGTAGAAAGGCGCCCCCAAGGGTTGGATCGGTGGAGAAGGGGACGCCCTAGGGAACAGACGGGCAGGCTGGAGAGACCAAGGGAGTGCATTGGAGCGCTCATGAGGTTGGGAATGATGGACCGATAGGGCGCCCTGGAGGATTGGACGGGAAGAGAAGTGTCAGTAGTACCCCCCACCCCCAGTTTCCTCTTCTCCCGTAGGTGCTGCTCGGTTCTCTTGTCCCCCCAATTTTGCCGCGACGCAGCCAGCCTCAGAATCCCCTCGTTTCTCCTTGGAGGCACTGACGGGCCCAGATATGGAACTGTGGCTTATCCAGGCTCCTGCAGACTTTACCCCAGACTGGTGAGTGGTCCCACACTGCCTCCTAGGAATGCTCCCCACCGGAGAGGCTGAACTTGAGGGAGATTTAGTGGGGCATTTCCAAAACACCCAGAAATGCTGCTTTTGACCCTCTTTTTCCCTGTGCCACCAAAAGGATCTGACTAAGCCTGTCTTCCCACCTTCTCCCCTCAGCCTCAATGGGCGGCGGGTGCCTCTCTCTGGCTCCCAGACTGTGAAAGGCAAGTTGGCAGGCAAGCGGCACCGTTATCGAGTCCTCAGCAGCACCCCAGCTGGAGAAACAACCCTGCTGGCCCCCTCAGCGGAGGTGGGAGGTGGGCTCATTTGCGCCCCAGCCCCCCAGGGCTGCCTAAGAATCATTGAGGGTCTACAAGAATCCCTGTTAGGGATCCCTCTGCAGCCCATTCCAGCAAGTCCCCCACCACAGATCCCCCCTGGGCTGAAGCCTCGATTCTGTGCCTTTGGAGGCAACCCACCAGTCATGGGGCCTGGGTCAGCCTTGGCACACAACTCACCCACTTCAGGAAAGAGAAAAAAGAAAATGCAGATTCGAGAGGCTTCAGTACCCCAGGAGGCAGTGAATGGGTATGGAGCCCTGGAGATGGACAGAGTGTTAGGGTCCCCAGAAATGGATGTGGAGAGAAAGAAAAAGAAGAAGAAAAAGCAGCAGCTGAATGAACCAGAGGTGACAGAGCCTATGGCTGAGATGCTCGAGCCTCTGGGAGTGCTGCTCCCATCCACCACCAAGAAGCAACAGCCCAAAGCGGCAGAAACATTTGAGCTAGAAGAAAAGACAGTGGAGCTCAAAGTCATTAAAACTGAACCTTTGGAAGAAATAGTCCTGTCCCCCACCAAGAAGAGAAAGAGGCCAAAGGAAACAAAAGGGATGCAGCCAGTGGAAGGGATGACAGTTGAATCTCAGGTGAAGGTGGAGCCACAGGAGGAAGCCATCTCACTGTCTCCTGTGAAGAAAAGGAAAAAAGAAAAGTGGCAAAATGCAACGACAGAGCCAGGGACTAAGTCTGTGGAGCCAGAGATGAACCCTCAAGAGCTCCCTGGAGAGATGATAGAACCCGAACTGCCCAAGGAAACTGAGCCTCAGGTGGAGGCAGCTCTGGTTTCCATCAAAAAGAAGAAAGAAAAGCGGCAAAATGTGATGACAGATCCAGGGACTGAGCTGGTAGAACCTGAGATGGCAGGTGACCTTGTGCCTCAGTCAGATCTAGCATCCACCAAAAAGAAGAAGAAAGAGAGAGGTCACAAAATGACAGAGTTGAGGACTGAGACAATTGACCCACCAAGGGAGATGATGGAGCCTGAGGTGGCAGGTGAGAGTGAGCCTGAGGCCAAGGCAGCTCCAGGATTCACCAAGAAGAGGAAGAAGTGGAGTCAGGAAGGAGAGAAGCCAGAGACAACATCCCCAGAGGAGAGGCCAGAGGTGCTACTAAACCTAGAATCTGGGGAGGTGGCTCCCAGAGGAGGACAGAAGAAAAGGAAGAAGAAGCAATAACAGGATGCTATGTAGTGTTCCCCAGAGAAACTAAGGAACTGATCAAAGGGGAAGGTGGCCACCTGGGCCAGCAGAAGAACCCCTCCCTGGTGACCACACCAGCACATCCAGCAGGAACATGGACTGGAAAAGTGCTTTATTATTATACAGGGGATCTCCTTGGTGGCTGGGGTCATCGGGGCACTTTAAAGAAGGGTTCATGCAGGACATCAAACAGTCTCCGGGCCTAGAGGTGGGGGAGAAAATGAGATGCTAGTCATTAAATGAGCCATACGTTTGGTATATTTAGAATGCGTTTTGGGTTCTTTTTCTCCCAGCTAGGGTGTGTGGGGGCTAGGAAAGACGTACCCCATCTGGATTTCATCCCAGACTGGCTGTGTAAGGTTGGGCTGGTACCTACACTCTTATATCTCAGTTTCTCCATCTCTAAGAGGGGCACTGTGAGCCTTCCAAAACCTTAAAACTGGGATTTCAGGTCCTTCTCACTTGCGGCTCCCTGCCACCCCTGACCCCTCAGGTTCTTTCCCAGAGCCCTTACCTTTTGGGGGCCCAGGCCTGGGCACAAGGCCAAGTCTTCCCTCGATGCAGCTATGAGCTGTTCCAGAGACTGAGAAAGGAAGAAGGGGTTGGGGAGGTGAGCATAAAAGCCCACCCTGCACCAGCTCAAGAAGGGACTGAGATATTCAGCAGGAGGCAGTGAAGGCAGGAAGGGTATGAGGGATGGGCAGGGAGATGGAAAAAAGTGGGTGTGGGCTTCTTAGAAGGAGGTAGAAATGCCTGTGGGGCAGGGATCTCCTTACTCCAAAAGTAGCCAGAAGGGTCTGACTGTCTGTCTTGTTGACTGACTTCACAGTGGTCAGACAATCAGTCACCTGGAAGGGAAAGAGGCAGGAGTGTATTAGGAAAGGAAAAGCCACTGGACAGCCCATGAGAGCAGGGCGGGGTCACTGCTGTGTCCCCAGACTCCCTTACATGCAAGAGGCACTCAATACATGCTTTTTTGTTAAACTGATGAAAATCTCATCTCAAGTAATTCCCACCTAGCTTGAGAAGGTGCTGTTCATGTGATAAGATAAATGCCATTTATCTTTCTTTTTTGAGTTAGGGCAGTGGTTCTAAACCTTCCTAACGCTGCAATGTATTTTCATTGTTACAAAGGGTCATAACCCACAGGTTGAGAACCACTGAGTTAGGGTCTCCTGTCACCCAGGCTACAGTGCAGTAGCCTTATAATAGCTCACTGCAACCTCAAACGCCTGGGCTCAAGTGATTCTCCTAATTTTTTCTGCAGACAGGGTCTTGCTATGTTGCCCAGGCTATGTTCCTCCTTTTCTGCCCAGAGAAAGACCCAAGGTAAGCTCTGGAGTCAGACCTGAGTTCAAACAAGCTCCACTGCTTACTCTGTAAAAGCCTGGGAAAGGCAGGGGGTGACCACAATGGGCCCCTAGAAGATACAATCAGGGAGGGCTTCCTGGAGGAAGTAGTCTCAGAGCTGAGATGTGAAGGATGGAATTTAGGCAGGGAACCAGGCAGAAGGAACAGAATATACAAATGCTATTTGGGAGGTGGAGGAAGGAGGATTGCTTGAGGCCAGAAGTTCTAAACTAGCCTGAGCAACACAGCAAGACCCCATCTCTATAAAAATTAGCTGGGTGGGTACGATGGTACGCTCCTATAGTCCTAGTTACTTGGGAGGATTGCTTAAGGCTAGGAGTTTGAGGTTGCAGTAAGTTAATCCTGCCACTGCATTCTAGCCTAGGTGGGCAGAGTAAGACCCTGTATCCAAAAAAAAGGGAGGGTGCAA